GGGCGGGGGGGTCTTTCCACATTTATTGCAAATCTCACGAGTTCCATTGAAGGCAATGAGAGTAATCTAGCGAAGACTCACCTTGGCCATTCAAGGCAAAACAGCTCCCCATATTTTGATATACCTAGTTAGAGCGAAATAATGACAGTTGCAGTGCAGAACAGTACAGCATAACTTTCGTCAACCATAAGGGGTGTTTAGGCTAGCTGTCACTTGGGTGTTATTGCGTAGAGCAGGCCACAGTAAGCCGAAAGAGCCAAAAATTAAGTTCCTGAATAGCTTACCTTAATTGACCACACATCTGTACGTTGGTCGATTATTGATCGATCTGAAACATCTAGAGTGTGAGCAGGAAAATTCGGAAAAGTTTTCCTTGTATGTAACCTACTTCTCTGAGAGTAGCTTCCAGTCACGAATGCCACACTGCTCCCCAGATACTTGTCCACTTTTAGTGGATGTGGGAACTCGACAATCGACATGTTTCTTGGTCCATATGGGTATCCCCCACCGACCCGCTTCACTTTTCTTATCTGAATAAATCGGTTACTCCATCTACATACATACATATTACTATGTCCTCACCAACAGTATAAATAAAAGCGGTGGGAAGGGTTGACGCGAGTGAATTTTAGACTCCGAATAAAGAGGTTCAAACGCATTCGGCTGGTAAAAACGCCAAACTTCCAATTAGCCTATTCAATTACATCCCCCCTATCGTTCTAAGGTAATCACTCGGCAGGGCACAGAATGTTATAGCAGAACTTCAATTTGCCCAAATGAATAAAATGGGCAATCGACCCTCCACCCACTGCGCTCTCCCTTGTGACAAAGCTGCTCCATTATCGTAGGGTCGTAGTAGAAGAACGCTCACCTCTACCAATTGAACAGCAACGCTTGGACTTCTTATGTGTTCAACACCACGAACAACGATAGCTGGTGAAACAGCTCGTAAAGGAATAGAAATTCGAGACATTTTTCCTATAGGAACAGGAGCCGCGTTGGGATAAAAAGCATTCTTCAGCAGCTCTTCAACTGTGGAGTTTCGCTCTCCAGATATTGTTTGGCTGTTGATATCTGCGATGTTGTAATGGTGTCTCTTGGCTACACCAATTGTGTGGATCAGTGGAAATGGAACGACCTCCCGTCTGGACAACGTCGATTTAATACCATAGATGTTACTTAAGCCGTATTGTTGGAATCGTCGTAGCGCATCTTGACCTGAAATGTTCTGGATGGAATTTAAGAAGTTATAATCATTGAATATAAACCGTAAACAGTAAACATTTCCGATAACAATCGATGAATTGTAAATGCTACAAATTTAGGACTTATGAACTTCTCATAAGGCATCGTGGTGGTGTATGTGGCCAGACATTGTTGGACAGCTACGAAAAGCAGCAATCGGTACGTTTTCAATTTCTCAGGAAGCTAATGACAATCGCCTGCGGTTGTTATTAAGAAACCAGACAGTAGCAGGAGTTCCTCGTCAGAAGTGGGCATGAAGAATTTTGTGTTTGGGTCAGACCCCCAGAAGAGTGACCTCGTGGTTGAGATCTTGGAAGGTGCTTGCTCTTACTACGACCATTTTCACAGCATAGAAGCTTACCGAAGCTGTTAGAGTATGAAGACGCTCACTCGACCAATATTAAATTTTTGTAAAATTCATT